TTTTAATTTATTTTTTTATTCCCCCGACTGTCCTGGTGTGGTACACCTTCCATTGTGTGTGGCCAGTTACAACCTCTGAATTCACAATATGCAGCTATGTGAGCGGAGCGAAGCAAAGGTATTAGGGAAGGGGGGCTTCAGAGGGAATGAGTGGAACCTCTATGAAAAGGTGAAGCAATAAAAGAGATGCAACTGGAAAAGAAGCTCTGACCTGATCCGCTGATAGGGTCAGCATTCAGAATTATCTATTAAGATAGGAGTTTTGGGAACGTCTGCTGTAGACTGGATACAGATTTGTTTTTCCCAATCCAGTCTTTAAACCTGCAATAACAGATTTTTTGACCAAATGATCTCTCAGGGCTCGACGGTAACAGATTTGTCCAGTTGCCCTGCAGATGATTTTCAAGGCAAGCAGTACCATGGTTAGTTTTACAAGTCTCACTTTTTATTTTTGCTGCTCACGTGATGCATCCAATGGGGGGGAGTCCAATCAAGTTTCTGCGATGCATCTGTGTTTTCTAGTGTTATTTTTGTAACATAACACCATCCACTGCCAAGTCAGCCTGCTTGATGAAGCTCTACCCAACTTCATTACTGTTCACCTTTAAGAAGGCAGGAGTGTGTGTCGGTGTATGTGATGAGCATGGACATGACAGTTTCACCTGACTGAACTCACTTGATGCTCTGCCAGCCAGACTGCCTGTGCCTCCCCTCCGGCCTTTCCATGAAAATAAATGATTCCTGGGTGGCTATTGCATTTTGCACGAAATGGCCACAAGTCAATAACTTAGTGTCCATTCCAAAGGGCAGGTAAATTAAAAGCTCTACCTGAGTCTCTAAAGGTTTGAATTTTTCCAGCTGTTGAGTGCATGTGTCTCTGGTTTAAACGCACAAATAAACACATATGAATATAAAACCCTGACAATACTGGCCTCATTCAAAAACACTGGCAGATGTACTCCAAAAGGGGGCATTCAATGTTCTGCAGTTTTCAAGCAAACAATTAAGCAAACTCATTTAAAATGTTTTAGAAAGATGTGTTGTTTCATCTCACTGACTACCTAGCCAGGCGTTTATAGACCATATTATTCATTCACATGTTATGTTTTCATTTAAGAAAAGGCACCAAAACGAAGAAGCCAACACACGTAAGAGTAAGACACAAGTAACAAACACAGCATATCAATAGGTCATGACAACAGCCCAAAAATATCCTGTCAAATAATGCGTGCTACTTCTTGTGATTTTATCTATACATTATGTGTGGATTTGTGATCTAACTTGCACTTTAAAGAACAATCACATACAGTATGTTGGCCAAGAACAGCATCTCTGCTGGCATATCATCCCTGACTAAGTTCACTTAACACATAAATCACAATGACATATCTGGTGAGACACTTGAGTATAATTCCACTGTTATATATTTTTTAAACCATGAAAAATAAAAAGTTTTATCAGTGCAAGTTCAAAGTCAAAGTAAAAAAAAGTCCTCCAGTTCAAACCTGGCTCTTAATCAGTTTGATGCCAGCTGTCAATCTATGTTCAGATTATTTTAGAATGGATCAACTGTTCAACTGATCGAACAAATTAATATAGGTTTGTAATTAAGTAGGTTTCAAAGAAAAATATGAAAACTAATGGCCTATTTACCTGAGAGACTGCAAATCTCACAGCACAGGGGATTCAGCAGCAGCAGCAGCAGGAGGATTTGACATCCACATGAGACATGTGAAGCATCGAGTCACAAAAAATCTGTTAAACAGACCGTCAAAGCTTTCGTTTTACCTATAGCTGTGCAATCTGTCTGGAGTTTAACACTGGAGACATCTCTAAAGACTAGGTGGCTTTGAGTAAAGTCTAAAGCTATTTTACGAGCCGCCAGCATGTTCAGAGAAGGTTGTATTTTTAAAAACTGTGCATTTCTTTAAAACAAACTAATTAAATCTGTAGAACCAAGGGACAGCAGCAGATAAATCACTTTTAGACTCTGATGTGCTAAAGAAAAATATGAAGGTCAAAATGTGCAAGGTGCGATTTCTTTTTTCTATAAAGGGATTGATTTTCTAGCATTTTGTCTTAATGAGACTGTTGACAATAAGAAAAAGGGAACATGGGGGAGAGAAAAGGGGTATGACATGTGGTAAAGGTCCCTGACTGCAATTGATCAGGCTCTGCCGCAGTTAAGGCTGCTGGCTCAACATGACGCCTCCAAGAGGTGATTACTAAAGACAGCAGTTACACATATTTAGTGCTTAACACTGAACCACAGAAAGATGAAGGATGGCATTCATTTCAAGGACATTTTGTGGAATGAAAGATTACTACTTACTAACTGTGCTGAAGATTATTCCATGAGCCATTCAGGCAGTGAACCTTAACCATTCCTTGCTAGCATGAAATCTGCACCACAAGCAGTTCACCAGTCTATATATAGATTAGGGTGGTTTCAAAACAGGCATGCACATTGTGCAAACAAATCTTAATTCTTTATACATCCTCTACATCATATATTGAAAAAAACTCTCTCACCTGTGTCCTCCGTCATTCTGCTGCTTTGGATACATATATAAAGATTACCCTAGCAGTAAACCAAGTTAAAAATGCCTCCAAAGCCAAATGGGCAGAGGCACCACTGAAAGGGCCTATAAAGAGTGACTTCTCCCTGACCACAGAGTAACCTATAATTGGGGGCCCAATATCACCCTGCCTAAAAACACAGCGTACAGCATACACGTTTCAAAATAGTAAGTGGTGTGGTGGGGCAGAGCCACACTGGGCAGAGTAAGGTGGAGCATCAAGGCTTGAATATGCTTCACTTGAAGCGCTTGCCTACGAAGACACGCACGTGTCATCCGCAGCCAATTAAGTACACTTGATGCATTCTCGTCCTTGCACTTTCACTGACAGAGTTGTCACAGTTCTAAAAAGGACACATTAACATGATATGAGAAGATTCTTTTCTTGCTTTTATACAATGTCACGTGTAGAAAATGAAGTAAATAGTGTGCATACACAACTCCAACCGGGTCCTGGTTAATGCTGAGATACCTGAACTCACTGATAACAGTAGTTATGTCACTTTTAGCACATTTAAACAATTTTGAAAAAACTGCCACTAATCCAAAATTAAACTACTGAATCAATATTAAATATCTATCCATCCATCCTTGTATATCACACAGAAATGTACAGTACGGCTGGTTTACGACTACATAATAATTCAATATTATATAGTAAGTATGAACATTTGCTGTGTTGCTACAGAAAGTGATTTAAATGCATACAACATAAGAGGTCCATTAACAATCAAAGATATTTACCACTAGGAAAGACATTTTTGCATCTATGGTCCCACTGTGGTGTTACTTGAGCGGCTTTATTTTGAAGGAGCTTTATCACACACAAAGACCCCAAACAAATCACCAACAATGAGGCGCACAGTAAACATATCTGCAGACTAGAGACTGAAGATTTGGATTTACCTAGACAATTCAGTTTATCACTCAGTATATCACTCTTATTATTCCTCTAAATGATGTGCTACAACATATTTTTAACCAATGTATTACAGATCCTATGCCACAGAGTTAGAAATGAAGCTCAAATAACTGGAAGGTTGCCTGTGTAATCTACAGACTGTCTGGATGAATCTGGGTGGGGGAGTGAAAAACCAGTGCTTGCATGTCAGTTGTTACAACCACTAAGTTGCCCTTGAGCAAGTTCCCTTAACTCCCAACTGCTCCACAGGAGCTGCTCAGTGGCCAACAGATAAGACTGTGGCTGTACTGGACAGCTTCCAGGTTTTGAATGTGTGTGACTGTGTGTGTGTGTGTGTGTGTGTGTGTGTGTGTGTGTGTGTGTGTGTGTGTGTGTGTGTGTGTGTGTGTGTGTGTGAGAGAGAGAGAGAGACAAGCAGGGTTTTACAGCGAAACTACAGTACACTAGTTAAATAAAAATAATAAACCAAAATAAAACAATAATTACCAAGTCAATAGTGCCAACAGTAAAGCATTTGTCATAAATGTTGTTAAAGAGCTTACAAAGTGACAGAATTTAGTCAAGACATTTGTAAGGTTTACTTGGACTGCATGTGGTATATAGTAAATGACCGGACATATTTTTGTACAATTAGCACTAGTGAGATGTCACCTGTTTCACTGAGGAGGTTTAAAGGAGAATGTGCAAAAACAGAGGCTATAGCTTATACATAGAGAGCATATATACTTCTTGCTGTGATGCAGTGATGTTCAAAATAAATATTCTGTAAAACTAGCAAAATTAAGCTCTTAAGCTTAAAAATAAAGCCGGTAACTGATAGCTAGAGACGGCATAAATCCAATTTTGTAAAAATCCCTCCTATTAAGCATTGTTAGCCTATGAAGTTACCTTTTGGCTGCCAGCTAGCCATGAAAACTATGGGGGTTTTCATGGCTAGAGGGGTTTTCACTCTTTGTAGGCCAAAGCCATGTTACTATTCAAAAGTCAAACAAGACACTCGTCCATTTCAGCAGAGCACAGGAACAGGGTTAAAGACAGAGGATGGCGAGAGGCTGTGAGAAGCACTTCCATTCTACCCTTCCCCCCCTCCTGAACAGTAGCAGATGACAATAGCTTCTAAACCAGGGCAAGCCAGACATCCTGACAAAGGCAGGCTCCTCCCAAGCTGCTGAGTCCCTGTTCCCAAATAAACACAGCCACAGGGAGAGGGCAAGAGTGAGGAGATGTGGTGCTTGCCATGTCCGGACTAGCGGCAAAATGAGTCCTTTTGCCCAGGAGCACAGCATTCTGCCAGCAAACCATAAAGTGCATGATGGACACGGCAAATCTCTTGACACACTGCAAGGTTCAATCGCTTTCTGCCTAATTAAGGCTGCAACAAAAAATAATGGTGTCACAATAATTTAAAAAACAAAAAAACAAAGTGAAAAGCAAACAAATGAATCCCTATATACATTGCCACAATTGTATAATGTTAATACTATGTCACTCTTACTCACATGTAGGCAGGCGAAAGGGGTGAGGACCTGGATGTCTTAAGAACTGGCACTGGGAATTTCCAGCTAACAGGAGAACCGCTTTTCCATTTTAACGGCATGTTGTTGTCACCAGAATGGTGCTACAGCAATACCAACAGCAAAGACCATTTCCATGAAAAGGTTTCCAATGCAGTATTCCATCCCACTCTGCCCACACCATTTAAGAGGGAGGGAGAGCAGCAGCGGCAGCAGCAGTAGCAGCAGCAGCAGCAGCTACAGAAATACACTGGTAGAGGCAGTGCGGGCTACAGCCAGGGTTGTGACTTTAGCGGCAGCACTGAGAAGCCAATAGACTGCATCCACCAAGAATATTTGCCCTGCTGCATTCACGGCTGTCTCCTGGTGGAAGGGGGGATAGAAGCCCTGCCTTCCCATCACCCTTTCAGGGATTGTGAACAGCCCAGTAGCTAGGCAACAGTGCCACCTTGTTAAAGGACTTGTGATTACAGGTCTGGTGTGCTTTGGAAAGAATGGTAAAGAGAGGTAAAGGAGTAGGAGAAAGAGAGAAAACTATAATGAAATTCAAACAATTCAATTACTTGGAGCCAAATAAAGTTGCCATCCTCTAGGGTTTAACGTGTGATTCTGTGAAGCTCCAAATTAAATTTCAGGCCAGGGTGATATTGAAACTGTAAGTCTTTAACTATCCAATGATGCCCAGTCTATGGAGCTAGGAGCACTACAGACGTATTGTTTTTCTAGTGGATGTAGTAGTGAAATCCTGCAGATATAAAATTTGGATTATCTTTTCACCACATGCCTTGTCACCATGGTATTCCAACTTTCAAGAGTGTATCTTAGAGCTGCACAAATCTCTCTACTTAATATATAGGCTTTTTCCACACATGGTTGTTTTGTGCTTTGGCTAAACATAACAGTGGGATTTATGTGCACTTTATGTGTATTACTCTGGAGATTTCATGGGTGCGGCCAGCCATAGTCAGCTTTGGTGCATTCAGTGTAAAGCAATAGCGATGGACCCAACAGAGATCAACAAACAACTTATAAAGGCTATTGCATACTGAAGTGCCAATATAGTTTTAAGCTATACATTTCATTGAATTAAATTGTCAGGCATCGATACACCACAGAATGTGCCAAAAGTTGGGTGAGGGTACCTATGGAAGTCCAGTAGTCATCATTAGGCCCTGCAGTGGGTATCAGGCTGTGCTGTCATAAATCTACAGGGCCCTCTGACAGGCCAAACCACTCACTAAACCTGACCTGACATACCTTTAAGCTGCCTTTAAATCTTACTCTCACCTAAGCAAAGAGCAGATTCTCTGCAGCTTGACTCAGCATTACATCTACTTTGTAACTTTGAAAAACCATAGCAGTGTGGATGTAGCCTAATATTACCCCACTCCTGCAGAAGTTAAAATGTGTCTAAAGGGGATAATTCCAGCGGAGCAATAACTAGCCTAATGCACAGCAGAGTATAGGGCAGGTAGACTTAAAAGATGTTATGAATTCTCATCAAATGATGACGTTAGTCTCTTAATATTAGGTATTTTTTTGTCAGAGAACACAGATGTGGGAGAGATTCTGAATGTGCAGAAAGTTTTGAACATGAGCAGAAACCTGCTAAAACACAAGTCCAGGAATTTAAACTTTAATTAAAATTAACCTATTTGAGATGAAAAGGTGCCACATGCACACCCCCGTGCAAAAGACACAAAAGAGGAGGGAAAACTCATGACTGCATGTGTGCTGACTCAGCAGGGATTTTTATTAAATTATAAATTTTGATCTATAGGAGAGGCGATTTAAAAGCAATAGCTACAGAATATCTGAAAGCCTTAGTGCATTATATTCTATACATTTTTTAGATTTTAAATTGTCACCTTCTGCCTGAATGTTCCCCTTTGCATAAATTAAGAAGGCAGGAAATTAAGTCCTCAATGCTTAAATTTTTGTGGGGGACCCACCTCTTCATTTCAGTCATCTCCACTATTGAAACTAAACCAATGCAGTTGAATTTCAAGAAATCTACCACATACTGCAAGAAAACAGTCTCTGGGTTGACTCACAGCTTCTGGAGGGGCATAGGTTTGGTCTCCTAATTCAGGATATGCTGTTGAGGTTGACAAGTATGATGATCACACTTTTATTTTGACGTACATTGGGCACGCACGTGTTACTTTGTGTTGAAAAGTGGTGGGGACATAGGAGCTCTGATTAGAGGCGTTGTGATACAAGTGTGTCACAAGACTTGACGATAGTCAAAACCAAGATGAGAAGATTTGTAACATAATTTTGAAGAAATGAGCATGGGGTCTGGGTGTCCTCCCCCAGAAGATTTTGAGCATTAGGCACTTAATTTCCTGCATTCTGGAGACATTTTCTGCTCCAATTCATGGTAGAAATGTCTTTATTTATATAAAGAGAAATTCAGCGATTAATATAAAAATATTACTGAATAATACAGTAATCAGCAGCTCGTTTTTTTTTGCTTAAGTTACTTTTTTTTGGACAATTCACATTTGTTTCTTCTATATTTAAATTGCATTGCATGTTTTCTTATTGTGCAAATAAACCCTCGTCAAAGCAGTTTCATTTCTTAGTTAACATTTCTTAGTGCAAGCTATTTTTCAGAACATTTTAACAAATGCTTTCAAAAAGTGAGGGGGACAAAATCAGCCATTTCAAAATGTGGTGGGAACATGTACCCAGCGTCCCCAGTGCAAATGACACCTATGTAAGACCGAATCAGGAGGCCAAATGTGAGTGTCTGTGTCATCCTTTTATAAAGTCCTCGATTTTTGCCCACGAGGTCAGCAGCATTTTCAAACAAACGTTGTTTTAATCTGGATGGGACTTGGAACAAAAGGTCTCCGTTTTAAAACGAAAACAGAAAAAGAGAGAGGCAGTCAACTGATTGCGTGGCGCTTCTATTTGCATCAGGAAACTCACACTGAAGGATCAGTCTCTCTCTGCCTGATGCGCTGTGGGTCAAGACCATAGACAGTATATTACTGGACGAAGCCACCCCGCTGATTTGAATGGAGAGGAGTGAGGCCAGTTTTGGAACAATAAAATACTACTACAGGATTACTTCCTGTTGGCACCAGCGTCTACTGCGCATGATCGCGCAGCATAACCGTGGTTTAATGAAGTAGAACAACGGCAGAAACACCGTAATTCTGGTAGCTGCACCAACAAAAAGTTTCATGGCTCAGTGCGTTTGTCTGACTCGGATCATCACTGATTAATCAGTCCACCTACGAGGCTCACCTGTGAAACACCAACGCAGCGTCACTGATAGCCGAATAGTTTTTTTAGATTGCTGAGAGCTTATAATCTAAGCAATACGGTTACATCTCTCATGTGCGCATGGATTCCTCCATGCAGGCTTTGGTTGGCTTCACTGTCCGATACCCCCTTGGTCAAGACAATGAAAGGTTCAGTGTGTAAGTTTTAGGGGAATCTAGTGGTGAGGGTTGCGAATTGCACCCCCACCCCCACCCCCCTCCATCCAAGCAGTGGTATAGCTACACCCTGAGACAGGACAAAAGATGTTTATGTCTATGAGACAGCAAAGAGTTGCCAGTCGAGAAATTAGGCTTCCTTAGATAGCTTTAAGAAATATTTATTTATTAAATATTATTTAATTAATTATTCAGTAAAACCACATGTTATGTGAATATTATTGTTACTTGTTCATTAAACAACAGCCACATCAAGAAATTAAGTGCTACATGATGTCTCATACTCCTGTAATACATTTTTTTTACTGTACTGTTATCATACTTTTTTGTTATACCTTGAGAGGGTTGGCTAAACCACATAATACATGAACATGGTCAGGCAAGGATCAAAGCCCTGCTTAATTAGATAAGCTATCTGCAAATCTTACCAAAATGTCTTTAATTTTTTGATATACAAAAGAAACACAAAGTAGTATTGATTGCCATAATTTCCGCTTGTGGTAAAACGGTGCAATGTTTTTAATGGACATTTAGCATGAGAACGTACAAATTACTCACTTGTGTGCACAGTAGTGAAGCGCTATATATATATATAAACACATTCTTTAATGCAAATTCGGAAAGTATTCATTATTGGTCACTTGATAGGCACTCCGTCATGTTATGCGTCACTATTAGCAGTAAAAATAAATACATGTTTTCAACCAGGGCAGTATTCAACAGAAGTTTAGCTGCTGAGCTGAGCTTCCATGCCGTTACCATTTTATTGCCAATAATATTCATCAGCTGTTTGATTCAGGAAGGTAAAGGCACATTTCTGACCACGTTGCAAAGCCAAGACAGAGCACTGTAGAATAACTACATGAAATTACAATCCAACTACATTTTTGCTACCACAGCAGTAAAGGTTTAGCTGGCTGATCTGAGCTTTCATGCTGGAAGCTACCTTTTTATTGCCAATTAATGATCAGCTGATCTCTCACAAACGTTACAGACAAAGCCAAAACAGAGAGCTGAAGAGAGAGTAACTACATGAAATTAATCCAACTACATGATTTTACACCACTGACAGGGGAAACACGTCACTTCTCTCCATGATTTTGCCCATCTTCAAGCTAAAGCTATCTAACAACAGTTTTCATTTGCATTACTGAAGTCCAACTAACTTAATTACCTGTCCAGCAGAAAACAGAGAACTTCAGCACCACTTTGAAAACATCTGTCCCACATTAGAGCCTTCCATCTGGGAAATTCCACACCGATTATATCCGTGATTTCTGTCATCATCTATCTGCATCTGTGCCGACTCCGTCTGGCTTCATCGTATGAAGATCCACATGCTGACGGCTTGTGCTAAAAAACTCCGAGTGCTTGTTCATTTGTCCAAATGTCACTTCTCTTCTTACTTCTAATAAACCAGACGACTACTCAGAGACTGTCTATTATTATTTCCTCTTCTTTTTCTACGGACGCATTTAATGTAGTGACGGGCGTCTACAGTGCCGGAATTACAATACAAGCAGAAGAATGCCGTGATGAGGAAACACGCTCTGTAGCGCTGTTTGTTCGTTGTTGGCTATGGTAGAAACTTGACGTCAAAATACGGCCCACGGTTATGAAGATAAAAATGG